CAATAAATATAACAAATGCAGTAAAATTGGTACATGATACATTTCATCAGTTAAAATAATATGATGGTAAGAGTCCAGTAATCATTACATTTTGACAATAATGTTAATTTAAATGTAGATTCTCGAAACTAATGTAATGTTAATATCTCCCAATAATGCTACATGGGGAGAACAACTCTTCAAATGATTTTGCTCTCAGAAATTTGAGCTGTTTCAAAGGCAGCCCTAAAGTTATACAGTCATCTTCTGTGTGAGATTGGGCTTGTGGGGAAGAAACATGGGACTGAGTGGAAGTGGGGAACTGTCCATTTTAGGTGGGCACAGTTATCTAATTCCTTCATCCCTGAGAAGAATCAGACACTGGAGCTAGATGGTCAAAGCCTTTAAACGATGTTTGTCTCCTTGAATATACAATCCCTATTCATAGTTCTTGGACCTGAAATATCATTCAAGCATCAATGCTTTAGTGCCACCTTCTGGTCAATATATGTTTTGTTATTTCTTCAAGTCATTTAGTTTCAGTACGAAGGATTTAAGTCTCTGATCAGCTACTCTACTTTCCTAGAGGCAATGAATAGACAAAATGCACAGTAGCACTGTAGCACTGTCCTCCCATTGTTCATCTATTTTCTCGAGAGGGCACCAGTAATGTCTCCACTGTGAGACTTATTACTGTTTTTGGCATATCGAATATGCCACGGGAAGCTTGCCAGACTCTGCCGTGCGGGCGGTATACTCTTGGTAGCTTGCTGTGCTCTCCGAGAGGGATGGAGGAATTGAACCCAGGTCAGTCGTTCGCGTGCATGGCAAATGCCCTACCCACTGTGCTATCGCTCCAGCCCAGACAAAATACATTAGAGAAATATATTTCTCTAATATATTAAGATTTCTAAGTGTGTCCATGCATATATGCCTACAATATTTCACTCAAATGAATACTATTCTAAGTGTTAGAGTATCAGCTTTTTGTTTGGGGCTTCTCTTGACCCTGTGCTCAGGAAATGCTTGGAGGAACCATGCAGTGTCAGGAATGGAAATCAGGCCTCCTGCATGCAAAGCTGATGTTGATAAATATGTCTTGAAAAGAACATATGGGAACCAGGGGGTGGAGAGGCATATGCCTTGCATATGGCCAACCCCATTTTTATCCCTGGAACCCTGTGGTTTCCCGATTATTATCAGGTTTAGCCGGGAGGCCCCCAAGCACCACCACTGTGACCCGGGTAAAGCCAGCACCACAGGAGCTAAGCAGCACTGAGCCAATGGCTCAGTTGATGAAGAATTGGCAGGAGGGACCCCAATCCTCCTGAATACTTAATTAAAAAGCCCAGGGCAGACTGGAGATATAGTACCACGGGTAGGGCTCTTGTCTTGCTTGCAGCAAACCTGGCTTCAATTTCTGGCACCCCACATGGTCTCCTGAGCCCTCCAGGAATGATCTCTGATTGCAGAGCCAGATGTAAGCCTCCTTAGCACATAAAGGTGTGGTACAAAGCAAATAACAACAAAAGAAATTATTTTTTTTAAATTTTGGGCCACACCTGGAAGTGCTGAGGATTATTCTCAGCTCTGTGCTTGGAGGTCACTCCCAGTGGTGCTGGGGAGATCATACAGAGCTGGGGATCAACATCCAGACCTTTGCATGCCATGTATGTGCTCAGGCCATTGAACTCTCTCCCCCCCCCAGGCCCTGGAATCCAGTTTTAATAATTCTATTCAAGATTTTATGCATTTTTTATTATTTTATTTTAGTTTTGAGCCACATTTGGCCGACTCAGGGCTTTCTCCTGATTTTCTGCTCAGAGGACCACATGGGGTGCTCGAATCAACCTGGGTTGGACACATGCAAAGCAAATACATTACCCACTGTCATATCTCTCCGGTCCCTAGATTTTATACATATTTAGATAGAGACTATTGCAGAACCACATTAGAGATATAGGTGTTCTATGCCCCATTTCTTGTTCTGATCCTGATTTCATCATGTGGTATTTCTTTGATTAGTTGCAGTTACCTGAAGAAGCTGTGCTGAGGAGATTGGGAAAAACAGGAAAGAGAATTAAAGTCTGGAATCAGTGGAAAAAACCAACCTCAGCTGCCTCCTTCCTGTATATGTGCTGAACCTGAGATAGTGGGGCCAAGGTATAATCCTATATTTCCCATAACTGTTTCAACTTGTAAACTCTGTGAGTTCCATAGAGTCTACACCACTCCAGCCACTTGTGTAAAAATAATTCAGGTTCTCTTCTACATTTTATGTTCTTTCCATGCAATTCATTAAACACATACTGAACGTTTGCTACCTTGGCTGAAAACTCATGATAGTATACAAACATTATTTACCATTTCTTTAAAAATTCTATTGTTTGTTTATTAGGAACATACCTAGGAGTGCTCAGAGTACTCCTGGCTCTGTACTCAGGGGCCACTCCTGGCAGGGTTTGAGGAATCGTATGGGGTACAAGGAATTGAACTGGTGATGGCCATGTATAAAGCAAGTGTGCAGGGGATCATATGTAGTGCTGATATTCAAACCAGCATTGGTAGGATGCAACACAAGCTCCTTAACCCATGTACTATCTCTCCTGACCCCCACTCCAGTAATTTTCCACTCATTCTACACTCATAAAATGAAGGTACAAAATGTAATTATTTCATTTTAACTCCTTCACCACCTCGTCCTTCCATTACCATCTACCCAGTGTTTTAGCATAATAGTCACCCATTCTTCCTTGGACCTCCTGAGGAAGGAAAGATGTAATAGTCAATTGATCAAAGCTTCTGTGAAGTAATAAATCATAACCACCAAAATGCTATAGCTCCCCAGATACTGTGGATCTTAGACAATAGAATCAGACAGGAGACAGTTGACTACCCACTGAATTCAATATAAGTTGACATACACATGTTCATTATGTATTTGAATCATAATTGGTTGCAAATTTTATTTTATTTCACAAAATTGAAGAATGTAAGTAAAATCTTTGGGATCTAGACTCTAGCTGCTTTTATCCATGAATTCCTAAGATTGATCTAAAACAGTGATTGCTACATTAAAAAACGCCCAAAACAAAACAAAACAAAAGTCCAAATCCAGGAAGGGAAACTGGTGGTAGGAAATGTACTCTGGTGAAGGGTTCCATATTGGACCATTGCATGACTGAAACCCAAATATAAACAATGTTGTAACTGTATATCTCACTATGATTCAATAAAAAAGGGAAAAAAGTACCCAAATTGGGTGGCTTCCCTCAACCATCATTCATTATTTCTTATGTGTCTGAGGGTGACATTGCCCACATTAGCATTTTAACTGCCTGAGGGTTTTCTGGCACCTCTTGTCTACCCGGGCCAGGTCACAAGAGTTTTAGCAGACCCTGATCCACTGTTCATTTACTCTCCCTCTGACACCAGCAGGTATGTGGTGTGTTTTGTTCATGGTAAAGGCAGGAATGTACTGAAGCAAGTAGAAGCACTCAAGCTTCTTAAGTCTTAGACCCAGAACTAATCCTTTAGGCATATCACTTCATTCAACTGATGAAAGCACACAACGTGTGGGTGCGCATGTGCAGAGGACTTAGGTTCGATTCTCTGGCTAGGCTTGGTCCCAGACTCCCACCTCAGCACTGACTGTTGTGATCCAAAACAAACAAACAAAAAACTGTTCAAATTATTTATTTATTTTTACAATGCCAGGGATCAAACTCAGGATCTGGGCATGAGAGGGGTGGGTTTGATCACTTAATCACTTCCCCAACCCTCAAAGTTTATCTTAAAGGGACCTTGCTGATGGTAATTATGGAATTTCTGATCTCCAGAAGGTGGAGAAAGTCGAAAAAAAATTGGGGGGGAGGTCACACCTAGCGATGCTCAGGGGAACCATATGGGATGCCAGAGATTGAACCTGGGTTGGTCGTGTGCATGGCAAACACTATACCTGCTGTGCTATGGCTCTGGCCCCAAGTAGAACATTTCTAAAAAATCCTCCACAAAGAATTATTTGGATTCTAATGCATTAAAACAAGCCACATTTTTGTGGCTAGCACTTCTCTATTTTACATCTGAGAGCCGATACCGTCTTCTAACTCAGTAGCCCGTGGGCAAGAAACACCGCAAATGTTACCAAGAGGTGCCTGCCAGGGTCTCAGAAGACCTAAGGAAGAATGCATGCAGGACGAAGTGGGGGTATGACCCTCCTCGGGGGTGGGGATGGGGGGCGGTGGGGAAGTGGTCACTGTTGGGTACCCAAGACCAAAGGACACACAGCAGCCCTGAAGGAGGACAGCACACAGGACTCGTTTTCAGTTGTGCGTTCTGCAAACGTCTCAGGGTGTGTGTTCTGATGAGGATGTGAGAGAGGAGGCACGGTCAGGCTTAGCAATCACCCCCAGGGGTCCAGGTCCAGCTCTAATCCTAACTGACCTGGGCGGAAGGTAGTGTATCCTGTTTCCCAAGGAGCCCTACTGAGTTTAAAGGCGGGTGGACGAATGCCACTTTGGCATCGACGGAACACCAAATACTTGAATGAGACCAGGCCACTGTCCCCTCATGCGTCCACAAAAATCTTTCTGCTTGTTTTCCCACCAGGGACGATCCTTTCTGCAAATCAGACCTAACACATTGCTTTCTTTCACACCCCAGAGACTTGACTCTCTAGGAACCAGAACAACGACTCAAGAGGCCAAATCTCAGAAGCCTTTATTCCAGCCCCGCTTCCGCATTGTCTTTGAAGACCTTGACGAGCCACTTCTTGGATCCGGTGTTCTGCCCTATAAACCAAAGGCCTAGAAAATGCACTCGACGAACAAAGTCTAAAAAGCTCTGAAAGCAGGAGGCAAGGGGCTCCGCGCCGGAGACCACCCCGAGGAGCTAGCCCGCCTACCTCCAGCTTCCACGCCCTCCCGCTGCCCCGCCCCCCTGCAGCCAGCCAGGAGAATTCCCCTCTCCTTCCGGCTTCCGTCGCTTCCCTTTCCCGTTTGGCCCCGCCTCCGCCACCATTGCTTCCGGTTCAGCGGCGGAACGGCCCGAGCGCCTCCGGCCCTGGCTTCTGCGGCCCGCCCCCTTCTGCAACCCTCCCGCGGCTCTGCCGGCGGGCGCTGGGGGAAGGTAGTGGCCAATCAAGTGTTCCTCTTTCAAAGCCGGCCGGCCGGGCCGGGCGCCGCCTCCGTTCCCTCGCTCGTGGCCCGCTGGTCCTCCCCGCCCCCCAGGAGCTTCGGGACGTCATGGCCTGGGACGGCCGCGGCCCGGCGGGTGTGAGGCCGCCGTTCGCCCCGCGCGCGCTCCCCGGGCTGCTGCTGGTGCCGCCGGCGTCGGCCTCGGCCTGAAGCGCCGCCCCGCCGCGCCCCCCGCCCGCCCCGCCGGGCCGCCTGGGCGCCGCGCCCCATGGCCTCCGAGGCGCCGTCGCCTCCTTTGTCGCCGTCGCCGCCCGCCTCCCCCGAGCCCGAGCTGACCCAGCTGAGGCGGAAGGTGGAGAAGTTGGAGCGCGAGCTGCGGAGCTGCAAGCGGCAGGTGCGGGAGATCGAGAAGCTGCTGCACCACACGGAGCGGCTGTACCAGAGCGCCGAGAGCAACAACCAGGAGCTCCGCACCCAGGTGCGCGCTCCGCCCCGACCCGCCCCGGAGCGCCGCGCCCGGCTCCCCTCCTGGGCTCCCCGAGTTGCCTTGTCTCGGGTGGGGGGTGGGGGGTGGGTGGGAAGTCGCGTGCTTTAAAATTACACGGGCTTGGCGTGGAAACAAGCCCCGGAGTTGGTGCTCTTGGCGCGAACGTGCTGGAGGGGCGGGGTGGCAGCTCAGCTGCAGACCTGGTGCCTCTGCGATGTCCCGCCTGAGCCCTTGCACCTCCAGAAACCCAAAAACTCGGTGCGTGGGGAGCTTCAGTTGGAGCTGGAATGGAACTCAGTATTTTCAAGTAGCTCTGGGTGGCCCCCCTGCTGAACCTCTTTGATTCTGTGACTCTCCCTCACGCTTTGAGTTTGCATCAGGTTTCGCCCAACCCCACCCCCTTTTAAACGTGACTCCTTTGCAATATCCTGGGGATAATAACCTCGGGGGCGTGTGTGTGTGTGTGTGTGTTTGTGTCTCCCACCAACCAACCCCGCTCCACCCCCAGTTGAGATCGAGAAGTGCTGCTTTTGATTTTCTAGATCCTTAATCTCAAGGGCAGGCCGACACCTTTTTTTCTCACTTTTGAGCTCTGTTCCTTGGGTCGGAATCCCAACCAACACCCACTTGGCATGTGGACCGCCTTGGATCTGCGCTTGCCTGTAAATGAGCCTCAGGCCACCCAGGCGAAGGTTAGAACGAGGTTAGCGCGCAAGACCTCGGGACAGTCTTCCAGACTCAGCACTCTACCTCCTTGTGGGTATTTATCATCTTGGGATTTCGGGTGGAAGGAGGGATGCTACAAATGTCAGTCTTCGAATCACCAGCCAACTTCGTTTTCATAAAGTGCAGCAAAGGCAGATAACCGGAATGCGCACCGTTTTCTTTTAAATAAAATGACATTCTCTCCCCTTACTCCTCACCTTCACCTTGAGTTATTGGGCATTTTTATTCTCCAGACAAGGTGTTTCCACATAATTATTAATTTCAATTAAAACTCTCATAATTCTTTCTAATATATTGGTAGTTCCTAAAACCATTTTTGTAGTCTGACCGCTGGAGTCCAGAAACGTCCAAGTTGATTATGCTGTTCAGAAATGAGCTATGAAAAATCATTGCTGAATTGCAGGGACTAGGTATGCATGATGATATAACAAATGTATTTTACTCAATGAGTTCTGGAACAATTGTAATGCTTTCGAACATTGCTGAGGGAGTACAGATGTAGTTAGAATATCTGGGGGCCAGAGCAACAGTACAGTGGGTAGGGTGTTTGCTTTGCACAACTTGCACACTGCTGACCCTGGACTCTGTGCGATTCCTAGCGCCCCATACGGTCCCTCAAGCACCACCATAGTGATCCCAGAGTACAGCTGGGCGTGGTCCAAAACCAAAAAATAGAGAAGGGAGCAAACAGCCTTTGTGTGTATGTGGAGGGGGGAGAGGGGGAGGCTTTCTGGGTCACATACAGTGATGCTCAGGAATAACTCCTGGCTCTATACTCAGAGTTATTCCTGATGGTGCTCAGGGGAACCATATGGAGCCTGGGATGGCCATGTGCAAGGTAAAATACCCTACTCACTGTAGTTTGCTCCGGCCCCTTATAATAGACTTTTAATAAACTTGACTGATGCTGAATTGCATTTCTGGCTATGAGGTCCTAAAGGAAAACCTTGCTGCTAGTCTTTGAAAAGCCAGCACTTTTGTAGTCTTAGTATTAATCGGGTTATGCTCTAACATGGAAAAACTAAAATTCATAGGAAATCTACACTTTACTGCTGATAATAACCATTCCTTTCTCCCATGGTGGTGGGTGGAATTCAGTTATTAAATGGCCTCCCAATTTTCTATAGTGTTTTATTTGAAGCATTAAAAAGTTAGTTGGGAATTGAGAGTGGGGGAAAAAAGTATATGAACAGGCTTTGGAGTAAAACATTTTGTTTTCAGATTTCTCATTTGTAAAGTGGTTTGGGTGCTAGGGATGTGGGTTCACAAGGTAGAATATTTACATACATTTGTGTGTGTATATGTGTGTGTATGTATGTATGTTGCAGGGCATGTGCTAGGCCTAGCTTTGGTTCGATCTATGTACTATGCAGATTCATCACCACTCCCCTCTTTTTGTGGTGGGAAAAGGTAAAAGAAAATTAGTATTTTTAGTTTTTCTGAAAAAGGAAACTAATTGCCGCTAGTACTTTTCTAAAACAAACATTTCAGTAGAATGGTGTGTGTATCACTTGATTTCTTAATGACTTACTTTTCCTAAAACCTTGTTTTGTTTCAGGTAGAAGAGCTCAGTAAGATACTCCATTGTGGGAGAGCTGAAGATAGTAAAAAGTCTGATGTAGAAGTTCAAACAGAAAATCATCCTCCATGGTCAACCTCAGGTATTCTATTCAGCTTTAGCTTATAGTGAATATATCTTAGTGGCATTTTACTTAAGTCAGGTTAATACAAAAAAATTTTTTTAAAAAGCATCACCATAAGTAACTGCTTCAGTATAGATTTTTTTTCCATATGATTTGCTATTTTCAGATCATCTACTCTTGGGGGAAAGTAGAAACTTATTGTCATATGTTTTAGGTGTCACATTTAACAAGTGTGTTTTTTGCCATACCTTCAGCCTCCCACATCTGTCCTTCCTGTTTGGCTGGGGCTCTTGTTGAGGCCTTCCACCTAGCACTTCATCTCTTAGGTTCTTGTGGGAATAGTGGGTGCAACACTGTCTCTATGTGAGTGACATTATGTGTTGGGCAAAATAACTGAGCCACTGAATTTTAAAAGGGATCACAGGAATTGATCTTTGCAGATAAGTCTTGCCTTATTCTATTTTATTCTGTTCACATAATTTGAACCAGCACATCGATAATATTTACATTTTATATCTATATGGTACTATAATTTTTTAAATTTGTCTTTATTTTTGTTTTTGGGCCACACCTGGTGATGCTCAGGATATACTCCTGCTTCTGCACTCAGAAATCACTTCTGATGATGCACGGGGGACCATATGGGATACTGGGGATTGAACCCAGGTCAGCCACATGCAAGGCAAATGTCCTACCCACTATACTACTGCTCTGGTCCCCATAAATTTTTTAAAGTTACCATTTATCAGAGGAATTTTAGAGAAAAAAAACCCCAAAACATCTTTAATATGTGATTAGAGTTATAAGTTGCTTTATTTTTTGGATGGACTACACCCCCATCTACCTTATTTATTTATTTATTTATCTATTTTTTAAACTCTTTCCATGGGTAATTTATGCTTCTATTTTTTTCAGCATGAAAACTAATATTGATAGTTATTAGAATCAACAATATATGTCTCTACAAATTTATCTCTACCATCAGTTTTAAAGTGTATGCACTGTAGCACTGTCCTCCCATTGATCGATTTGCTTGAGTGGGCACCAGTAACGTCTCCATTGTGAGACTTGTTACTGTTTTTGGCATATCAAATATGCCACGGGTAGCTTGCCAGACTCTGCCATGCGGGCCGGATACTCTCAGTAGCTTGCCAGGCTCTAAAATGTATACAGGAAAAAAAAATTTTTTTAATTAAATAAAACGTATACAGTTGTAAAAATGTGATTTAGATACAATGTAAACAGTGTCTTGGAATTAAATCTTTTTGTTACATTATTCTAATAATACCACTTAAAATTTTATTTTACTACAGATTATTATTACCAAACATACTATAAGGATGTTAGTTTTCCAAATAACGTGACTGAGCATTTGGTTCATCAAGATCAAGATGCGAAAGTGTCTAATTTTAATTCTAAAGACCAGTCGGAAATAGGAACTGATGCTTACATAGGTACTGAGGAAACACAGGAAAACGTTAGATGTGGAGAAGAGGACCATTTTGCCTCAAATTCACAGGTATGAAATTCCAAATATGAAACTGTTGATATCCAAGAAATTGTCCTTTATTATTATGCAAGAATACAGATTTTTTTTTGGTCCATCACAACATATGCAATGGTATATAGTTATGTAGTGGATATTACAGTTTTGTAAAGCAAAGAGCTTGTTAGCACTTCCTCATATGTGTAATTGTTTCATACTAAATTGTTTCCAGTTCTGTTCCAAAACTTTTATGATGTACTTAAACTAAAATAAATTTTTAAGTATGTCTTTACTCAAGCCAAAACATTTTGGATAACAAGCACAATATCATGTCCAGGCCTAACTTCTTATTTATTTGTTTTTTATGTCTAATATTATGCCACAGTTTATATTCTTGAATGTTTTATAAATTTGAATTAACTGTTGCTTGAGAAATAGCCATCTCTTTCCACTGCAAAATTGAAGTCTTGTTTAAAGTAATTTTAAGTGTATTGTTTCAAATTCTGCTGATTTGTAGATCGATAAAAGGTAGTTTTTGTCTGATTTGACGTGAGTTCTCTTACCTAGGAGCCAGCATCTGCATTAGCCACAGAAGATACACACTTGGAAGGGTCTTCATTAGCTGAAAGCTTGAGAGCTGCAGCAGAAGCTGCTGTATCACAGACTGGATTTAGTTATGATGAAAATACCGGACTGTATTTTGACCATAGCACTGGTTTCTATTATGACTCAGTAAGTATCACAATACTTTGAATACTGTATAGTCAGTCGTGTACTTAATTGCTTGACAACAAATATTGAATCTTAAGCCTGATTAAGATAGGCATGAAGCTATGTTTAATTTATGTGAGGCCAGAAAGATAACTCAACGGATAGTGTATGTTTTGTGTGTGGAGGCCTGGATTCAGCCCCCTCATCACATGGTTTTCTGAGCAGTGCTTGTGTTGCCCCAAATCCAAGATACTTAAAATTTTTAGTGTTTTAATTCAAAACTATTTGGCATGAGTAAAAAATTATAAAGTAGCTATGTGCTACTTTAAAATTATAAAATAGCTATGTCCCTCTCTTTCTGACTCATTTCGTTTAACATGATACTTTCCATGTAGTACCACTTGTATGTAAATTTCATGACTTCATCTTTTCTAACAGCTACATAGTACTCCATTGTGTAGATGTACCAAAGTTTCTTTAACCAGTCATCTGTTCTTGGGCACTCAGGTTTTTTCCAGATTCTGGCTATTGTAAAGAGTGCTGCAATGAACAACCTAGTCCAGATGTCACTTCGACTATACATTTTTGCCTTATAGAGCCATACTTTAATTTTGGTTTGGGGACTGCATACAATAGTTCTTAGGGGCTGCACTTAGCTTGGTGCTCAGAGGACCATGTGATACTAGAGTTCAAACCCAGGGATTCTGGTCTCCCAGCAATAGCAGGAGTAATTCCTGAGTGCAGGAATATGCTCAGAAGCTCTTGAGTTTAGCCAGGTGTGGTTCCAAAGCAAACCAACCCACCCAGGGTTTCTGCATGCAAATCATGTGCCCTTTGTATCTTCCTGGCCCTAGATTTAGATGGTCTAAAAGAGATTCTTAATAACCATCTATACATAAAGTAACAGTTAAACTGTTAGAGCATTTACTAGTAAGAGCAGTTAACTATGTTACAAAATGTTAGAACTTAAACTAACATAGTTTCATAGATTTTATAAAAGAAGTAACATTGTTTATTCAAGACTTCTGGGGAAGAGCTTTTTTTTTAATTGTTACAAATACTTAAATCTCATGATCCATTTGAGGTCACAGGCAGTCTTTATTGAGTATCCAGTAGCATTTTATTACTGGTTGGTGTATATTCTGTGGCATGTAAGCATTTCACTATTTGGCTTTTTGTTTTTTGTATTTTGGTTTGCACCCAGCAGTGCTGGGGTTGTGGGTGGAGTTGTGGGTATGTAGGGATCACTTCTGGTGGTGCTCTTGAGACCATGTGATACAACGATTAAACAAGAGGTTTTCTCACAAAAGTTATACTCTCTGGCCTTCTAAACCTTCTCTCTTGCTCCACATTTCAACATTTGAAAATCAATCTGTTAACAGTGAGAACTAGAAAATAGTATATAAATGTCATGTACTACTGACACAAACCCCAAACCAAAATTACTTATCTGTAGATTATTCTGTTTTAGAGTTATTGAAATCTAGTAACTACATGCATTGTTTTATTTATTTATTAATTTTATTTATTTGGCTTTTTGGGTCACACCCGGCGATGCTCAGGGGTTACTCCTGGCTTTGCACTCAGGAATCACTCCTGGCGGTGCTTGAGGGACTATATAGGATGCTGGGAATTGAACCCGGGTCGGGTGCGTGCAAGGCAAATGCCTTCCCCGTTGTGCTATTGCTCCAGCCCCTACATGCATTGTTTTAGAGACTGAATAGTGATGATGTAATGTGCCCACATACCTCAGTCTAGAGGGTCTAGGCATGTGATCTAGTCCTCAGGCATAGAGTACCACCAAATGAAGCAATGGGCATTGTTTCTTTGTTGACCTATTGTTAACTAATTTAGAAAACTGATATTGACAGTACTAAAGAGTTAAGAGATTGTACTTTTGTCAGTTTGCACTTGGTATACTTAATAAAATAAAATTCTGTGTGAGAAAAGGTTTACTTTAAAAAGAATATGCTAATCTTGTAAATTGTTTAAACTTTTATTAAAGAGACTAGCTATTGTTTGGCTCCTAAGAAAAATAACAGCTTTCACTTACATAACTTTAGTCTTTGTCATCCTTTTACCTTCCTTTCTGCATCTTTCCAGATTACATCTTTGCTGTAAATGGGTAGTTTCATCTGTACATTGTATTTCTCATTTCATTAAGAATTTCATTATTTTACCAGTTTTATTTTGCTAATTAAAATGGTATTATTTTTAGAAAAGTTTGTTTTGGATCTAAGGACATAACATTAAAACAATTTTGAATCATTGCCAGAAATAGTTAAGAAATTAATAAAATAGACTAAAGACAATCTCAGTAGTATCAACAGTTAAAAAATAAATAATTCTTTTTAAGGAAATTTTAGTTTCTTATTATCACAGTGTACCTTTGGGCTTGGTTTGCGTAGATTTACAATATCAATGAAATATATACTCTTCTCTTAGATCTTAGTTATAGGATTCTGTCTAGTATATAATAAACACAGATGTTTAATTTTTTTAGTTTTTAGTCCATAATTTTCCAGAACTTAGTTTTGCATAGCTGCTCTACTTATGTTTTTATTTGCTAAGATAGAAGTAATTTACTTAGAATTATATAAGGCAATTATTTATCACTTTACTTATATAGAGCCTCATGTATGGTATTCGTGAGCTTTACTTTCAACTTTTTCTTTAAGAGTTTTATTCATGAGTATTATTTAAAGGAAATAATAAGGAGGGCTTTGGGGTTTAGTCTACCTACCAAACCATTGTTATCGTAAGGGTAAGATTTCTGAAATTTCTTTCATGTAGTCAGCTTTTTCTGATGCATGCCTAGTTTTCATGACTTTTTAAAGAGATTCTTCAATGTGGGATTGTGGAGGGCACTTCCTAAGCAGTGGTTACTGGGTCTGTGGGGTATCCCAGTGATACTCAGCCCAGGTGTGCTATACTGACTCTTCAGTGCTTGGGCCAGTGAGTCAGTACTGCTTGGGTCTAGTGGTGCTGGGGGCCACCAGGACTACTTCTGGAGGTACTCAGCGGACCATGCAGTGACAGGCCTAGTACATGCCAGGCATATGCCTCAGCCCTTTGAGGTGTCCCTCTTACCTCTTTAAAAAGATCTCTTACCACTTTTTATTAATAAGTGGAGGGACTGGAGCAATAGCACAGCGGGTAGAGCGTTTGCCTTGCACATGGCTGACCTGAGTTCGATTCCCAACATCCCATATGGTCCCCTGAGCACCGCCAAGAATAATTTCTGAGTGCAGAGCCAGGAGTAACCCCTGTGCATTGCTGGGTGTGACCCAAAAAGAAAAAAATAAAGTGGAACTATATGAAATTGCTTTTTAAGTTAAGCAGTGATCAAATATTGGTGATTCCAAATAATATAAATGTTAAAAGGAATTCACTTTTTACATAGGAAAATTAGAACAGATATTAAGTGATAAAGTATTCGAGAAGTTTTACACATTTTCATTGTGTGTGTGTGTGTGTGTGTCTGTCTGTCTGTCTGTTTTGGGACCACACAACTTAACAGTGCTTAGGGATTACTCCTAGCATGGCACAGGGGAGCATATGCAGTGCCAAAGATTGAATCTGGGTCAGCTGCATGCAAGACAAAAGTCTTACACACTGTACTATCTCTCTGGCCCCATCATTCTGTTTTTATTCTCTTCATATAGCCTTCTAGTTCTTAAAAATAATCATTCACTACATTTGATTATATTTGCATTTCTATATGTTTTTAAATTTCACCTTACATGAATAGAACATTTTTCTTGATTTTGAAAGGAAAATCAACTGTATTATGATCCTTCCACTGGAATTTATTATTATTGTGATGTGGAAAGTGGTCGCTATCAGTTTCATTCTCGAGTGGATTTGCAGCCTTATCAGACTTCTAGTACAAAGCATGGTAAAGAGAAAAAACTGAAGAAGAAAAGAAAGGACCCAGAATCTTCTGCAGTAAATGAGGTAAAGCCCTTTTAATTTTTAACATTTTCATAATTGTGGTATTATAATTGAGTCAACATTCTCTTTTGCGTTTGAACCTTATCTAGTGGTGCTCTTGAGCTGCTTACTCCCTGCCTGGTGCTGGGGGACCATAAGGTTTCAGGGATCAGATATGAACCTCCTGCATGCAAAGCATGCTCTCAGCCTATTGAGATACATCTTCAGACCTAAGACAGAATTCTTTATGAAACTGAAGACCAGTTATAAAATTCTCATCTTTTTATTCTTATATTTGAGCATAGAGACCATATGTGGAGGGAATGAAGTAGGGTGAGGAGATTGGAGTAAATAATTGGAAATATACATCTATACTTCTGACCATGTGTGCGCTCTCCTTGTCTAAATAGATATTTAGCATTCTAGACAAAATCAAAGCAACTCTTGACAGTTTAATTCACCACTCTGTCGCCTGTTTTTCCCATAGGTGATGATAGCAAGAACAGATGCATAATTGTAATTGTTCTTTTTAAAGAAAAATATATTAATAGGAATTTGTGATAATATACAGTGACCTTTTGAAGAACCTTTAAAGCTTTTTAGAGTTATTTAGGCCTTGTCCTTGCTCTTGCTCTTGCCCTTAGTAAGTCTGTTTTGTTGGAAGTTTATTACACTGAGTGTTTAACCAGTCTCCAAACTGAATTTATCCTGCTATTAAAAATGTATTTAACAACAAATAGCCAAAGGCAACAGGAACTGAGAACTGATCTTTAGTAGGAAGCATATCACTGTAGGAGTATGTGGGGGCATATTTGTTTGTTAGTAATACAGCATAGGTAAAATAAGTGATAAAAGGATTATATAGGGTATGTTGGCATTTTGTAATGAAAGTGCTGTAACTGATTAATCTATAGTTTAAACTGTGGTATATTACCAAAACAACTCTATAAAGTACTGTAAATTATTATAGTTCTATTAGGTACATTTGGGTCCTTAAAGTCATGATATAATTAAGGGCTGGAGCAGTAGTACAGTGCATTAGCGTTGCATGCATCCAACACAGCTTCTATCCCCATATGGTCCCTCCTTCCCCTCCCCCCCTCCCAGTACCACCAGGAGTGATCCCTGAGTACAGAGCCAGGAATAAGTCCTGGAACCACTGGATGGGGGTGTGATTCCAACCCCACTCTCCCCAACCTCCTGTAAAAACAAACTCAAGATGAAGTCATGTTGTAATTAGAGCAGATTGTACGTCACGTGACTGGATTTGATAATTGGTTCAAAGTCAGAAAGGAAGTTTAGGTTAAATGAATGTATTCTAGACCTACTCTGTCCAAAAAGTGACTACTGAGCTCTTGAAATGTAGTATGAATTTCATTAAGATGCTAGAAGAATAAACTACTTCTGGTTTTTACAGGAAATTACAGGAAATCAGTATAAAATGTTACTCTTTTTTGTTGCTGTTTTTTGACCATACCTGGTGGTGCTCAGGGCTTGCTTCTGGTTCTGAACTCAGGAATTAATCCTGCTATTAAAAGGATTAATAGCAGGGGGTCTCGGGGGGCCATATAGAGTGCTGGGGATGGAATCCAAGTTGGCCATGTGTAAGTCAAGTTCTCTACCCCCTGTACTCTCTGACTCTTGTTTTATTCATTTTAAACAATTGATTTAATGCTAATAATATGGTAAATATGATAATGGTAAATGATTTTCCCGTCCCCCCACCAGCTGGTTTTGGGCCACGTACAGCCTTGCTCAGGGGTTAACTTCTGGCTCTACAATCAGGAATTACTCCTGGAGGTATTCGGGGAACCATATGGGATGCTGGGGATTGAATCTTGAGTTAGTCGTGTGCAAGGCAGCTGCCCTTGCTGCTGTGCTATTGCTCCAGCCTCAGTGACAATATTTTAAAAGTATATTAAGTTAAGGTAAAGGTAAAAGGTAAAGGCCCTCCCGTTGATCATCGATTTGCTCGAGCGGGCCCAGTAACATCTCCATTGGAGACTTTGTTGTTACTGTGTCTGGCATATCGAATACGTCACGGGGAGCTTACCAGGCTCTGCCATGCAGGCAAGATACTCTCTGTAGCTTGCCGGGCTCTCCGAGAGGGGCGGAGGAATCGAACTCGGGTCGGCCATGTTGGCTGCGTGCAAGGCAAACGCCCTACCCGCTGTGCTATTGCTCAGCCTTAAGCCTAAGTTAAGCAATAAAACAAATTTCACCTGCTTTTTACCTTATTTTAACCTTTAAATTTTAAAGACCAAATAGGGTTTGCTTGATCCTTTTTTGTTTGTTTTGGGGCCTCCCAAGCAGTGCTCTCTAGGTTCAAGGCTTAGAGGCCCTACCTGGCAATTCTCAGTCCAAGGGATCAGTGGTTCAATGTGAGAAACTTGAGTATATATTGCTCCTTGGTCCCTCCAGTACTGGGAGTTACCCAGGCCACCTGCTGATGCTTGGGTGCCTTCATGGCCTCACTCACAATATGTGGGGGACTTCCAGGGCTACACCTAGCTATACTTGGGGACTGTGTGGTGCTCTGGATTGAGCTGAGCTTGGTCTCATGCCAGGCAAGTGCCTACCCTGTACTATCTCTCTGGTCCTGCTTGCATCCTATTTTGATCAGATAGCTTTGGTTGAAGTTGTATGGTCTAAACAGTATGTGATGTGGACATAGACTGGACTTGTCAGCATATTAAAAATAGATAAGGAAAGAAATATGGGATGAATGATAAACTTGCCTATAACACTTGGTAATTAATCCCATGTGGTGGTTAAGTGGAGGTCAAAGATTAGTGTATTTGCAGAGATAGATTGCGCTGTCCTTATGCAAGAAAAGAGACATGAAAGGAGAGACGGGTAACAATCATTGTTTATCTCACTGTACAGATGTCTTCACCAATTCATTGAAATACCTAGGGCAAAACATTTTAGATTGTTTAAGAAAATTCTTCCCTGTTCCTACCCCCCCATCTGCCCCCCATCTCAGGATTTGAATTCAGAAGATCAAAAAGCATTCAGTGCTGAGCACATAAGCTGCAATGATGGAGAAGATTTCGCAAATGTGAGAAAGAAGGCCAGAACCGATACTCATTACAAAAATAGTCCCCCCAAATTCACGGTTCCAGTTACTGGAAAAACTGTAGACTCGCCTCTTAACGAAAACATACAATATTCAGCTTCATTTAAAGATGAAAAAATTATAGAGACTGATAGTGAACCAGAAGAAGGTGAAATTACAGACTCTCAGACTGAGGACAGTTATGATGAAGATGCTACCAGTGAAGACAATGTAACAGCAGAAGACACCGAGGATGAAGGTGAATAAATTGTTATTTAATTTTTCATCATTAATTTAGTCTATCCATTGTAAAAGAGCAACATGGTTGAAATAATAGTAGCTCATACATCCGCTGAAAGGTAAACTGATTGTTTAATTAATGCTGATTAATTCCGTTATTGAAAATTACATGGGCTATCGCCTAGTTGTTTCTAGAGTAGGATATGAACATATTTTGACTTGAGGGAACTCAGTGGTTCCGGGGAGATAGCTCAGAGTGCTGGAGTGAATGTTTTGTGTGCCCAGGTTTGCTCTATGGCACAGCTTGCTTCCTTGAGCACAGTGCTGTCAGTAGCCCCGAATCGCTCTCTGACGTGGCCTCTAAAGGAAAAATGTCTCTTTCATCAAAGGCTTAGTCAAGAGAACACAAGATACGGTTACCTATGTTCTAATTCTAAAGTAAATTTAAATGGTGGGTTAGATACCTGTGTTCCATTTTTTTTTAATTAAGGTGAGGACGTCTTTTTAAAGTGGAGGGAAGGTCACGCTGAGGGTGTTGGAACACAATATACCTGAAACAACTATATTATGAACAACTTTGTAAGTCATGGTGTTTTAATAAAAATTTTTAAAACAAGTATAGTCCATGAATTCAGCTGTATAAATATTATGGTAAATCATATATATATATACTCATTACACAAATAGTCCCCCCAAATTCACGGTTCCAATTACTGGAAAAACTGTAGACTCTCCTCTTAACGAAAACATACAATACTCAGCTTCATTTAAAGATGAAAAAATTATAGAGACGGATAGTGAACCAGAAGAAGGTGAAATTACAGACTCTCAGACTGAGGACAGTTATGATGAAGATGCTACCAGTGAAGACAATGTAACAGCAGAAGACACCAAGGATGAATATATATATAAACATATATATATAAACTCGATATGAAAATGTACTTTTAAAACCCAGGGTTTCATATTATAGTATAAGGACTTATTTTGTTTGTAATGGAATTTCTCTCCTTTATTTGAAAAAATAATGAAAAGATGTACTTGGTTTTTCTAGCTCAGTATAAAAAATGCTTATTTTGGACATTTTCAAATTTCAAGACCTTAAAGGACTACTTTATAATTCTTACAAATGCTGAATTTGTAGACTGTCTTTAGGTTGATCACTTTATTTATTTTTTGGTTTTGGGCCACACCCAGCTTATTCCAGGCTCTGTGCTTAGGGGTCACTCCTGGGGAACTCCAGAGAACATATGGGTGCCACAGATTGAATTCACATCAGCCACATGCAAAGCAAGCACCCTGCCTGTATACTCTGCTGTACTATTGCTCTCTGCCCCCTGGGTTGATCACTTTATTAATTTTATTGAATCACCATGAGATACAGTTACAAAGCTTTCATCATTGAGTTTAAGTCATACAATGATCGAACACCCATCCCTCTACCAGCGTATTTTCCACAACCAATGTTCCTAGTATCCCTCCCACCACCCCCACTCAGTCCCACCCCCTGCTTCTGTGACAGGCACCTTCCATCTTTCTCTCTACTTTTGTCCATTGTGGTTTGCAATACAGATACTGAAAGGCCATCATGTCTGGTCGTTAGTCTACTTTCAGCACACATCTCCCATCCTTCCAACCATCATTGAGTTGGTGGTCCCTTCTCCATCCCAGCTGCCTTCTCCCCCAACACATGAGGCAGGATTCCAATTGTGGAGTGATCCTCCTGGCCCTTGACTCTACTGTCCTTGGGTGTTAGACTCATGTATTTGTATTCCACAAATCAGTGCGGTCATTCTGTCTGTTTTCCCACTTTCTGATTCACTTCACTTAGCATGATATTCTCCATATCCACCTACTTATAGCAAATTTCATGACTTCATCTTTTCTTTTTTTTTTTTTTTTTTTTTCCCCCTTTATTTTATTTTATTTTTTTTAAAGTTGTAGATTTACAATTTTTTGTGCTTTGGTTTCAATTATACAATGATCAGATACCCATCCCTCCACCAGTGCCCATTTTCCACCACCATGGATAATATCCCTCCCACCCCCATCCCCCCATCCCCCCGTCTCTGTGGCAGGGCAATCCCCTGTGTTCTCTCAAAAATATGGAACGCTTCACGAATTTGCGTGTCATCCTTGCGCAGGGGCCATGCTAATCTTCTCTGTATCGTTCCAATTTTAGTATATGTGCTGCCGAAGCGAGCACGACTTCATCTTTTCTAATAGCTGCATAGTATTCCATTATATAGATGTACCGTAGTTTGTTTAGCCAATTCTGTTAAAGGGCGCTCGGGTTGTTTCCAGATTCTGGCTATTGTGAACAGTGCTGCGGTAAACATATAAGTGCAGATGTCATTTCTACTGTGCTTTTTTTTTTTTTGTATCCTGGAGATATATTCCCACAGGTGGTATTGCTGGGTTATATGGAAGCTCGCTTTTTTAGTATTTTGAGGAATATCCATATTGTTTTGCAAAAAGGCTGAACCAGTTGGCATTCCCACCAACAATGGATAAGTGTCGCTTTCTCCCTGCATCCACACCAGCACTGGTTGTTCTTGTTCTTTTTTGATGTGTGCCAGTTTCTGGTGTAAGATGATACTTCATTGTTGTTTTGATTTGCATCTCCCTGATGATTGGTGATGTAAAGCATTTTTTAATGTGGCTTTTCATCACTTGTATTTCTTTTTTGAGGAAGTTTCTTTTCATTTCTTCTCCCCATTTTTTGATGGAATTGGAGGGTTTTTTCTTGTAAAGTAGATTGATCACTTTAGATGAACAATTGTATTAAGCCTTATTCATTATATTTTATCTAAACATTTTTATGTTATGGATATCTTACCCCTTCATCTAATTTTTCCCCATAGCATTTGAATTTATATTTGCCTACTTTTTTGCAGATGAAGAAAAAATTTGGCCTCCGTGCATTAGAGTAATTGTTATTAGATCACCAGTACTTCAGACTGGATCACTTTTTATCATTACAGCTGTAAATCCTGCTACAATTGGAAGGTAAGATATGTTTAACATTTTTTGTTCATATACTTGTTTTATCATTCTAGTGGGTTGCACCATTTTTTTTTCCTTTTTGGGTCACACCCAGCGATGCACAGGAATCATTCCTAGTGGTGTTCAGGGGACCATATGAGATGCTGGGAATCAAACCTGGGTTGGCCGTGTGCAAGGCAGACGTCCTACCCACTATACTATCACTCCAGCCACAAGTGTTATACATTTCTTGAACTGTCAAACTGTTTCAGTTGCTCTGAAACATGCATTATACTTATTGAATCAGTAGAAAGACTTCCCTCTTTCTCCCTTCTTTCCATTCAAAACTAGGTTGACTACATAATTTTATGTTTCTTGTATATGGGAATCAGTGGAGGGGATGACTTCCTAACTCAGGGCCAGCAGACTGAGTTTTATTCCTAGCACTGAATGCCCCTCCAACCTAAGCGCTTCTGGCTGTGGTCCTGGTGACGCCCCAGCACAACTGGCCTGAGCAACAGCATTGTATCCCTAGGCCTGACCCTGTTCTCCCAGACAGTGCTGGGAAAATACAAATAGGAATTGAGAGAAATAGAAAGCGTAGTCATAATGTGGAACTGTCTATACATTGGGATAAAATCTCGGTGTTCTTTCTCAAGAGATTTTTTTTGTCATTTTGTTGTCTTTTATAATGTCCTTTTTAGTTTTTTCTTTTTGGTTTGGTTTTTGTTTCATTTGGGGGACCACACTTTGTGTTACCCGAGGCCTCTTGGGTGTAGAGATTGTTCTAGGCAGTGCTTAGGGGACTGTGCAGTGATCAGACCATTAGCTGCATGCAAAGCAAGTGTCTTGACTTTTACCTGAATTTTCCAGCCCCTGCCCTTTTTTATTTTTAAGTTACTGACCTAAAGGCATTATTGACCTAATTTTTTTCTTTTGCTTTTTGTAACTCATAACCAGTTTGGTAGAGAGGTATGTTTTATTTTACTTTATTTTGGGTTTGGGGGTCACATATGGTCATGCTGGAGGAACTTCTCCAAGCTCAATACTCAGGACTCCAACTAGTGCTGGAGGACTCTGACACAAGGGCTCCAACTCAGAGTTCCTGCATGCAAAGTAAGTGCTTTAGCCCTTTGAGCTCTCTCTGGCCCCAAGAAAATAATAATGATCCACTTTAATAATGAAGCGGATCATATATTTCCTTCCGAATGGAAAAAGTAATCTAAATTAATTTGGATTCTATATGATATCTTAATCATATCTATATGATACCATAAATGCATTCTATATGATATCTTCAGTTTTCAGTTAAGAATTTCAGAGTGGGATTAAAGACACTGGACTTGATATGGTAGAGCCATTTTTATATATATATATATTTTTTTGCTTTTTGGGTCACACCCGGCAATGCACAGGGGTTACTCCTGGCTCTGCGCTCAGGAATTACCCCTGGTGGTGCTCAGGGGACTATATGGGATGCTGGGAATTGAACCCGGGTCGGCTGCGTGCAAGGCAAATGCCCTACCCGCTGTGCTATTGCTCCAGCCCCGAGTCATTTATATTTTAATCTTGTATGTGTAAAATATTTTTTTGCGTGTCTGTATTACAATATTTGCTTCAAAAATTATTAAAAACATTTTACTTAACTCTGCAGAGAAAAAGATATGGAACATACTGTTCGAATCCCTGAAGTTGGTGTCAGTAAGGTGAGCTCCTTGATTGTTTAAATGTAACCTGCTAGATAGAATTCATAAGTGGTCATTGTGGTAGAAAGCTTAGGGTTTTACCAGTTTAAAAGAAAGGTTGATAGTCAGTGTTGTTATGGCAGTGAAGCCACTTTAGATTTATTTCGCTCCTTGAGAAAATACATTTCTTTACCACAGTTTGGGTAAACTGAGTCATATTTATTTTTTAGTAGTCTGAAGAATAGAAAATGGATTAATTTAAATATGGTGGCAGCCATTTAACAAGTATTTGTTATATTTGTAATTTATTAAGGTTACATTGGGTTATGAAAGTATAAATGTTTATATGTTTTGGGTGTAAATTTTTTTGTTTTTCCAGTTTGAATTTGATTGTTTTGGTCTTTGGACCACACCTGGCCGTGCTCAGGATTTAATCCTGGCCCTATGCTCAGAGATAATTCCTGGCCTGGCCTAGAGGACTAAACATAGTGCAAAGTTTTGAACTGGAGTCAGTCACATGCAAGGCAAGCACCTTTCCTCATGCTAACTCTCCAACCCCTTAGGGGTAAATATTTACTTTTAGTGTTACCACATTATATACAGTGCCAATAGCCCTCCACCATTGTCAGTAGATTCTTCCCTTCATCTTACCCCCCAGTTTCAGTTACTTCATTTCTATCACTAGAATGTAGCACTGCGCTTTCACTGTAGCACTGTCCTCCCATTGTTCATGATTTGCTCGAGGGGGACCGGTAACATGCCATTGTGAGACTGGTTGTTACTGTGTTTGGCATATTCAATACATCAAGGGTAGCTTGCCAAGCTTTGGCTTGCTGGCGAGATACTTTCGGTAGCTTGCCAGGCCCTCTCAGAGGTGTGGAGGAATTGAACCCGGGTCAGCTGAGTCGGCCGTATGCAAGGCAAACACCCTACCGCTGTGCTCCAGCCCATCACTAGAATGTAATATTTTTATTTGACATTGCCTATCCCTTTGTTTTGTTTCTTTATATACAAATATGAGTGTGGTTAACCAGGTTTTACCTTATTCCTTCTAAATTATTTCCTTGGTGTTACAGTTCTCCCCCCGCCCCCCCGCCCCAATTCTATCCATATAGCAAAGTAGCAAGTATGTATTTCATTAAATAAATGTACTAGACATCAGAGTTTTTCAGAAGTGAAGGGACTGGGGAAACAACTCAAAGAGTTGGAGCATATGCTTTGCATGTGAGAGCTGCAGGTTTAATCTCTGGCACTGCATATTCCTCCAATCACCACTGACCCCCACCCCACGAAAGAAAGGCCAATCAGAACAGGGACGTGGCTCAAGTGGTTAAGTGCATGCCTTGCATTTGAGACTCTTGAGTTTGATCCTAGACTCTGCATGCTGGGTATTGTCCTGGTGGCCCCCCACTCCTGCAACACTGCTTTAAGTGACCCACACAATAATAAGTAAATAGTAACTCTGGTTAGTACAGTGGGTTAAGGTGTTTGCTCTACACACAGCTGACCCTGCTTCAATCCCCATTTTCATATGGTCCCGAAAGCCCTGTCAGGAGTGATTCCTGAGCACAGCCCAGAGTAAGCTCTAGGCATCCCTAGATGTGTCCCCCCATCCCCAACCCTGCAAATAAAAAAAAAAGTCATTAAGTTTGGTTTTTAAAACTGTAGAATCAGAGTTATAAAAGTGAAAGGATTAGCTACTGAGATTCCCTTTTTTTCTGTTTCCTTACTTATTATATTTTCTAAAGACCCCTTTTCCTCCCCATCACCCTCTGTTTGTTCATCTTGTTTATTTATTTATTTATATATTTTATAATTTGGGTCATATCCAACAATGCTCAGGGCTTACTCCTGGCACTGCACTCAGGAATTAGTGCTGGCGTTGCTCAGGGGAGTTTGAAAGGCTTATTACTTCGACTCATTTTAATAATTTAATCTTCGTAAAAATTTTTTAGAATAACAAACAACAGTAACAAACTGCCCTCCCGTTGTTCATCGATTTGCTCGAGCGGGCCCAGTAACGTCTCCATTGTGAGACTTCTTTGTTACTTTGTTTGGCATATTGAATACTCTTGCTAGCTTGCCAGGCTCTCCAAGAGGGGCGGAGGAATCGAACCCGGCTCGGCCGGGCTGGCTGCACGCAAGGCAAATGCTCTACCACTGTGCTATCACTCCAGCCCATTTTTAGAATAGCCATTAAGATAAATATTTCATATATAATATCAAAAGTAAATTATTCTTTCTTTTTTTTCTTTTTGGGTCATATCCAGTGATGCTTAGGGGTTACTCCTGATTCTGTACTCAGGAATTACTTCTTGCCGTGCTCAGGGGACCGTATGGGATGCTGGGGATCGAACCCAGGTCGGCCCCGTGCAAGGCAAATGCCATACCTACCATCGCTCTGGCTCTGAAAGTAAATTCTAAGGAGTTTTTTTGTTTGTTTTATTTTGCTTTGGGGTCCATGCCTGGTGGTGCTCAGGAGTCCATGTAGTACCTGGGGGTGGTCAGGGTCTGCTCCCAGCTTGGTGTTTTGTCACTTGCATGAAACAGTGGATGCGTGACCATGAGGTACCAAGAATTCATTGTAGGACTCCCACATTCAAAGCATCAACTACGGCCTTTTGAGCTGTCCCTGGCCCTTCATTTCTTTTTATTGCCAGGTGGCTCACTGTTGTATTAATGTGCTCATTTGCTTGATCAGTCAACAGACATGTTTAAATTGTTACTACTTTTTGACTCAGTAGTGTTATGAACATTTGTGTGAAAGTTTTAATTTCTCTTACAACCTAGGAATAGAATTACTGGGTCATGGGATAATGCTAAGATTTCTTAAACGTTTTAAGAAACTGGCAGATTGTTCCAAAACAGCTCTACCATTTACATTCATTCCCACCAGTGGTATAGTAAGAAAAAAAATTACATTTTTTTCTCTAGCTTTTAATCCAGTTAAATAAAGATGTGGTGATTTGCCCACGATATGCTCAATGTATGAGATACTGGGTTAGGTGTTAAATACAATTGAGAGTTAATTGAGTGAGTATTAAACAAAAATGAGCAGTTTCTGGGATTCATACATGCAGTAACTATAATGTCATGTATAATGCAAATTTTATATAAAGATATTGTGGAGCAGGAAGGACAGTTGAGGTGCTAAACTAGTCACCAGAGTGACTTGAAAACCTGGAAAATGGGGCTAAAGAGATAGTACAGTTGGTGGGGCGCTTGACTTGCGTGTTGCCAATCTGGGTTTGATCCCACATGGTCCTCTGAACTCGCCAGGAATAATTCCTGAACACAGAGCCAGGAGTAGCCTCTGAGCATCGCCAGGTGTGGCCCAAAAAACTTAAAGAGAAAGAAAAGGAAACCTGGAAAATTGCTGAGACATTGGCTTTGGTTTAAATCATCTTTTGTGTTAAGAACGTGCAATGATGTGAAAGGATACATTAGGTGAAAAAATAACTTTAAATTAAAAATAGGTTGATACCAACCATATTATAAAAGTAGAAAAGGCAGGACATACTAAATTCAAAATTACGAGTGGTAGTTTATATGTAATACTTGTTTTATAGGCCACATGTGACATTCCTCAGGTGCTATTCCTGGTGTTGTGCTCAAAAATAACTTTTGGCAGTGCAGGGGACCATATGTAATGCCAGGGATTCAAACCAGGATTGGAAGGATGTGAGTCAAATGCCTTAACCCCTATACTCTACCTTCAGCCCATAGATCACCATTTTTTTCTATAACTCCCAAATTTCTACCAAAGTATTTAATACTTTTTTGTAGTTAAATTATCAGAGACTAAAATCCACTGTATCCTATTATATGAAAATTGCTACATGGAAGTTGTTATTCATGCTTTTAAAACATACAGTACTTTATAATTATTTGATTTCTCTTTCTTAGTTTCATGCTGAAATTTATTTTGACCATGACTTACAAAGTTATGTCCTTGTGGACCAAGGCAGTCAAAATGGCACTATTGTTAATGGAAAACAGATTCTTCAGGTGAGTGTCTATGCATTTTTTAATTACTTGTTCATTATTCAATATGCCAAACACAGTAACAAGTCTCCAATGGAGACGTTACTGGGCCCCTCGAGCAAAATCGATGAACAACAGGAGGACAGTGATGATGATGATTGTTCATTACTGTCAAGCTTTTAACCCTACACCCCTGCTCTCTTTTCTTCTGTTGACATTGTTTCTGTGGCTATAGTATTTGCAAATTTGGCCAACTGCAAGTCTCACTCTTTAGTGCTTGCAAGGGGCAGTGAATTCCTTTTGTTGTGGTGCTTGTGTGCATTCTGGCAGTAGTGCACAGTGGGGGTTACACTTCTGGCTGTGGTGCTCACACATCTTTTACAGTTGAGGGGCTATACTAGAAGCCACGCTTCTTTATCATGGTGCTTGGACATTCCTGGCCAGGGTGCCGCCAGAAATTGCTTGTGGCACCAGGGATCACAGACAACAGAGTTGCTAAGATCCCACTCAGTGCCTACAGCAGTGCCAAGGATTGAATCCCTGGCCTCAGGCTCTGAGGGCAGGTACTTGCCATTGAGCCATCATCTGGACCCCTAGTAAATTAACTTTTTGTTTTAGGGGCACTCAAGCAATGCTGAGGCGGCCCAGAGACCACTCCTGGCAAGACTGAACCTGGCCATGAGTGCTGGAATGCTTCTAAGGTCCCGTGAAGTGGTGCTGCTCAAGCCCAACAGGCTGGAGGCTGCCAGGGCTACATGGGGCATGCTCGGGAAACCCCGTGGCGGTGTTGAGGATCAGACTCAGGGTTTTGAACATGAGCTCCAGCCCTATGAACTGTTTCCTTTTATCACTGTACAGTATTCTGAAAATTTTACTCGAACTTTTTTATTCATGAAGGCCATGATTTTTCAATCATCTGTTTCAGGTTAGTGTTCAAGCCCAAATGTATTACTAGAAGAAGAGAATTCTAAGAAACACAGAATTCCTGTTCCATGAAATATTTTTCTTTTGTTTGTTTCTTTCTTTTTTTTTAACTAAACCACTGTGAGATACATAGTTATAAAGTTGTTCATGATTGTGTTTTGATCATTCAAGGTTCCAACACGTTTCCTTTCATCAAGGTACATTTCCCACCACCATGTTCCCAGTTTCTCTCCTTCCAGCCCCCAGCCCCCCAGTCTACCTTTACAATAGGTTCTCTCTCTCTCTTTCTCTCTTTCTCTCTCCCTCTCTTTCTTTCTCTCTCTCCCTCCCCCCCCCCCCCCGCCTCCTTTTTGGGCATTATGGTTTGTAGTATAGATCCTGAAAGATTATCACGTATATACCTTCACCTACTTTCAGTGTTCAGTTCTTGTCTACAGTGATTATTTCCAACTATTATTGTCATAGTGGTCCCTTCTCTCTCCTAACTGCCCTTTCCCACACCATTTGTGGCAATCTTCCAACCTTCCATGAAGCATTCGGGGAAAAAAAGTTTATGCAGGACCAGGGAGATGACTCAAAGGGCTGGATTCATGCTTTGTATGTTAGAACCCCATGTTTGATATTTGACACTGCAGGGTTCCCCAATGGTACAAAGAGTAGTGCCAAGGACTGCCAATTTTGATCTAAAAAAGGGAAAATAGACCCCCTCCATCACCAAAAAAAAAAAAAAGAAATCCTTAAAAGTATATCATCAGTGGGTACTTCACTATTGCATGTTTACTTTTTTTAGTGGGGGAGGTTTTTGCCACATTTGACTATGCTCAGTGCTTAATCCTGGCTCTCTGTTTAGTGATCACTCCAGGAGGTGCTCAGGGGACCTTTAGGGGTACTGGGATAGAATGTGGGTAAGATTTATGTAAGGCAAAAGTGCCCTACCCACTGTTCTATCTCTGACTCCTGAATTTTAAGTTTTAATTTTACATCTATGCCCTTTCTTTTTAAATAAGTCAGTGCATTTTAAAGCTATTCAGAATATATTTATATCAACTTTCAGGACTACCTTCTTTTTTATATTACCAGACGGTATTCTAATGGAAGTGTTGCTGGACTGCAGGTTCTTTGAAGGCTGGTCTTTGGCTGTTTATTTTACTCTTTTACTTTAGGTATAACAAAGTGTGTGGCATATAGGAAAGTATATGGCCCATCAAAAAAAAGACAGGAAGGAAACATAGGCAATAATAAACATTCAAAGGCAACAGAGCCAGAGGATTGTTCTGCAGTACTTAATCAGGGGAACAGAGATGGAGGTTCCTTGGGACGTTAGTGGAAGGAAGAGAGCACTCTGTTGATAGGTGAGGTGTTGGAGCAGTTTATGCACAAAGTTATCATTAGCAGTCTTGTCAATTACAAATCTGCCATACAGATGGAGAAAAGAAACAAGTGTTTAGATGGAAGGGAGGGAGGCTTTATTCTGAGTATGTAAGAATAAAAAAAATGAAGGACTGGAGAGAAGGACCATGGTTATGGCAGTTAACTTGCGTGTGAGTGACCCTGGTCCAATCCCTAGCATGGAATATGGTGCCCAATATGCTAGTATAGCACCAGCAACCATGCTTTGTCTTTCTTTTTTAAAAGATGATGTTCATTTAAAGGCCCTCCCGTTGATCGTCGATTTGCTCGAGCGGGCCCAGTAACGTCTCCATTGGAGACTTTGTTGTTACTGTGTCTGGCATATCGAATACTCTCGGTAGCTTGCCAGGCTCTCCGAGAGGGGCGGAGGAATCGAACTCGGGTCGGCCATGTTGGCCGCGTGTAAGGCGAACGCCCAACCCGCTGTGCTATCGCTCCATTTAAATAATTGTGTTAAAATTTTTTAGGCCTTTCCTTGATAGAATTGGGTTTGTATATGTGTGTCTCATTGAGAACCGCTTCAGAAACATTTTGGTGATGTCAGATGCTACTTTCAAAGACCTAAAATAACTATGTGTAACTGTCCTGGATTTCTGTGTTTTGACCTTTCCCCTTTAGCCGAAAACTAAGTGTGATCCTTACATACTTGAACACGGAGATGAGGTGAAGATTGGAGAGACAGTGATGTCCTTTCACATTCACCCTGGCAGCGATACCTGTGACGGCTGTGAACCCGGGCAGGTTAGAGCTCACCTTCGCCTTGATAAAAAAGATGACTCTTTTGGTATGTTGTGTAGGTTTGGTAACTTTTCTCTTAATTCACTGAATGTTCTGAGTGTCAGCTCCTCACTTTGTATCTAAGTGGAATGGTACTGTATTGAAGTATCCTTTTCAGTGTGCATTAGCAGATGAGTCTGAGAAATTATATGTATTTGAAATTTTTTTTAACAATTTTTTTTAAAATAACGAGTTTTTACTGGTCGATTCTTACTACAGTCGATTTATGTAATAATTTAGCTATGTGCTATTAGCTTTAGGTAACTTTCTGGTGGTTAATACTCATCAGCTCTGTACCATCAGTCTTTTGAAGCAATACTGTAATGGTAGCTAGATGTCCCTCAAAAGAGTAATTGTATGGGACAGGAGAGATAGTACTAGGGCATAAGCACCTGATTTGCATGTAGATGTACCCGGTTCCATCCCCAGTACCACATACTGACCCCCAATCACTGCCAGAACTGATCCCTGAGAACAAAGTCAGGAGTAAACCCAGATAACGCCCAGATGTAGCCCAGCCCCCTCGCCTTCCTGCAGGGTAGGTGGGGAGTAATTGTGACTAGTGATAGAGCTCAGTAGAAAACACTTGTGTGGCTTGTGTTAGGTCCTAAATTCAATCCCTGGCACCACAAAATTTTAAAATAAGATTAATTGTGACATCATCCTAAGAAAGATTGTCATTGAACATCTATTTGCTGATATGAAAAGTCATCGAGAGTTAAACTCTGAATGATAGAAAATAATAGGCCAAAGACATTAAGAACTATTGACTGACTGGTCCAGAGACGCCCAATTGAATCCAAGAATGGATTAGTGCCCTACAGAAATGTCTCTGGAACCCAACTATTTACAATCCAGGGTTCCAGAAGCGCATGGCTGTTGCACCCGAGATATTCAACATGAGTGATGGGCAATAAATGATCTAGCATCTGTCCCTGGCAGGCAGACTTGACTAGTGGCAGGAAAATTTGAGCAAAACATAATGCCCAAAAGTAGAGAGAGAGTATTGGGGAAATTGCCTGCCATGAAGGCAGGGTGAGGACTGGGATGGGGAAGAGGGCATATACTGGGGACACTGGTGGTAGGAGGTATGCACTGGTGGCGGGATGGGTGTTCTAACATTGTATGGCTGGATCTCAAACATGAAAGCGTTGTAGCTGTATCTCATGGTGATTCAATATAAAAAAAATAATTTGGAGTTCATGCTCAATTCAATCAGCTTAATCATTGGCTGAATAAAGAGCAGTACTCCTACATTAAAAAAAACAAAAGAACTATTCGCTTATTGTGCTGTCTTGGGTACATTTCTGCTAATATGTCATTGTTGTGATGTGCCTCTCCACTGGAGAAGTTACTCCTTTGCTTTCAGTGTACACATAGATCTTGTATATTCCAAATAGAGTCTTGAACTAGTAAATATTTCTTTCACATGAGTTTTCCCGATACCATGAATATATGACTGTCTATATTGTTTCTTTTTTGGTCACACCCGGAGATGCACAGGAGTTACTCCTGACTCTGTACTCAGGAATCATTCCTGGCAGTGCTCAGGGTCCATATGAGATGCTGGGAATCGAACCTGGGTTGACCATGTACAAGGCAAATGCCCTACTTGCTGTGCTATAGCTCCAGTTCCCGTTTTTTGTTTCTGGTGTTAGGTTATAAAAATAGGGGCAGGAGCGATAGTACAGCAGATAGGACGTTTGCCTTGCACATGGCTGACCCGGGTTCAATCCCCAGCATCCCATATGGTCCCCCAAACACTGCCAGGAGTAATTCCTAAGTGCAGAGCCAGGAGTAATCCCTGAGCATTGTTGGGTGTGACCCAAAAAGCAAATAAATGAATAAATAAATAAATAAAAGATTATAAACATACTATGACACATTGCACAGTAATAGGAGCCTTGAGTCCTCTGAAATTTTTTTAGCACCTATCTGTTCCTTTGGAAAATTTAGAGTATTTTTGCATTGGGATTCTATTATAAAAATCATAGGAAAAAGTTAAAATATTAGTGTTTCTTTTCTTATCTATTCTATCAGTTTCTATAATCTTTTAGTTTTGAGATTCCAGTCAATTTTAGTTATATAAATACTTTCAAAAGACCTTGTCACAACTCAAAAAATGTTTGCTTGAACTTTTGGTCGGTCTTTATATGGGACAGTAATACAGTTGATTTTTGTATTATTAAGTAGCAAGCAGTATAATTTTTTAGATAAAAATCTAGTAGAGTGTAGTGCTTTTCTTAAAGTATATTGTGTTGGCACTGGAGCGATAGACAGCAGGTAGGGTGTTTGCTTTGCATGCGGCCAACCTGAGTTTGATTCCCAGCATCCTATATGGTCCCGTGAGCACTGCCAGAAGTAATTCCTGAGTGCAGAGCCAGGAGTAACCCCTGTGCATCACTGGGTGTGACCCAAAATGCCAAAATAAAAAGTATATTGCATTTAGAAAAGTTTGCTTTTTTTTTTTTTCAGTCGGTCCAGCACTCAGTAAGGAAGAAAAAGAATTGGAAAGAAGAAAGGAATTAAAGAAAATACGAGTGAAATATGGTTTGCAGGTAAGGATGTTAGATATTGTTTGATATGATAAATTGTACATATGACTTTGACCAAAATGCCATTAAATATACATCATCCATTTTATATAGAGAAGCTCTTTGTAATGATTTTTATATTTATATATAAAAAACTACATAGTATCTATTTTGCAACAAAATGTTGATTGGAATAGAAAAATGGTAATTCCCTACATTTGAAAAGCCATTTCTGTTTTTAACAAACTTGTATTAAAATGATTCCACTGAAATTGGGAGGTGGTAGTTGAAGAGGCTGGAGCCCCCCAAGCCTTGCATCTCACAGTCCTGAGTCCAGTCCCAGCTACTGTTACTGCCCCTCTTGCAACTCAGCACTACTGGGCCCCTGCAGGACGGCTTGAGCACCCCTCTCCCACTCCCCCAAAATAAAAACAACTAATACAGCCTGGGTTTCAGAACTATAGTAATTAAAACAATTTATTATTGGCATAACAGTAAACAGATAGACTTATGCAGTAGAAAAAAAGGAGTCCCAAAACTAGATGTTATTCATGTATGTGTACACATGCATGTGTCGTTTTCAAGTAAATTAGCATGAGGACAAATTGGAGAAAAGATGGTCTCTTTCAACAGATGATGCTGGAACAGTTGGATAGCATAGGCAAAAGCAAAACAGTTTTTTGGGTATAGTTTCTAGCACATATAAAAGTAGCACTGTAGCACTGTCCTCCTGTTGTTCTCGATTTGCTCGAGCAGGCACCAGTAACATCTCACAACAAATTGTGAGACTTGTTACTGTTTTTGACATATCAAATACGCCACGGGGAGCTTGCCAGGCTTTGCCATGTGGGCGAGATACTCTCAGTAGCTTGCAGGGCTCTGAGAGAGGCGGAGGAATCGAACCCGGGTTGGCCATGTGCAAGGCAAATGCCCTACCCACTATGCTATCGCTCCAGCCCACATATAAAACTAAATGGAAAAAAAAAAAACGGGCTGGAGCCATAGCACAGTGGGTAGGGCGTTTGCCTTGCACATCTTGCACATGGCCGACCCAGATTTGATTCCCAGCATCCCATATGTTCCTCTGAGCACTGCTAGGAGAATAACCCCTGTGCATTGCCGGGTGTGACCCAAAACACCAAAAAAAAAAAAAAAAAAAAAAGGTAAATTAGATTGTGATTAAATTTGGGAGAAAAATAAAAATACATGAGGAGAAAGTGAATTGTTTTCTGAATAAATTTAATTCAATGTCTGTATCTTCTTTGGGCAAAACCCATTTGAGCTAGTAATTCTGTACTTTCCTTATGTGTTTAAAAGTTAAATTATGAAAAAGCCTCAGGTACTTTACTTAGACTGCTCTAGCAGTCCTTGGCATCTCTGCATGACTGACATATTTTCCATATAAAGACCAGCAGGTAATAAGAAAAAGAAAGAGAAGTTTTCTCTGAGAACCTAAGCTGAGTTGATTGACTTTTCTTTGGTGCTTCTGCCACATCTCGTGCATACTTTTATTGTTGAGCTGGTTTTACTGTAACAAACTAGATACTATGTGTGTCTGCTCTCTGAAATCATAAATTTATCTGCATTCTGTCACCTAACATGAAGCTTAATAAACTCACTAATCAGTAATTATCTGTTGAGTGACTGGTAATTATATAAGTGGTGAAGTATTAAAGCAAAAATGCTTGATTATTACCAGGGTATTTGTGGGGCAAGGAATGTGGTTTAGCCTCAGTGGTAAACCACCTGTCTTGCCTATGTCAAGCTGGGTTCAATTCCTAGCACCAAAAAGGGAAAAAAAATAAAGGATTATTCTCATTCAATTATAAAATACTTCTGTTTCTTCCAAGAAACAGTTTCAAACCATTTTAGTTCTTATGGAGTGTTCAGTTCCTTAAAAATATAAAGAAGAGGGGACTGGAGTGATAGCCCAGCTGGTAGGGCATTTGCCTTGCATGCGGCTGACCCGGGTTCAATTCCCAGCATCCCATATGGTCCCCTGAGCACCTCCAGGAGTGATTTGAGTGCAGAGCCAGGAGTGATCCCTGAGCATCGCTGGGTGTGACCCATAAAGCAAAAATATAAATATAAAGATGAGGTGCTGGGGTGATAGCACAATGGGTAGGGTGTTTGCCTTGCACATGGCTGACCCAGGTTTGACTCCCAGTATCCCATATGGTCCCCCAAGCACTGCCAGGAGTAATTCCTGAGTGCATGAGCCAGGAATAACCCCTGTGCATTGCTGAGTGTGACCTAAAAAATAGTAATAATTATATATACAAAGGGCTGGAGCGATAGCACAGCGGTAGGGCGTTCGCCTTACAAGCGTCCAACATGGCCGACCCGAGTTCGATTCCTCCGCCCCTCTCGGAGAGCCCGGCAAGCTACCGAGAGTATTCGATATGCCAGACACAGTAACAACAAAGTCTTCAATGGAGACGTTACTGGGCCCGCTCGAGCAAATCGACGATCAACGGGAGGGCCTTTACCTTTATATATACAAAGAAGAAATAAGTTTTTCCCCCCCACCACCATGGTACTGTATATTTCTTGAATACTGGTATTTCATAGGAGAAAATGAGTACTTAGTATTAAATCAAAATATACTGTTACGGTTGTATATTATAATTTATATTGTTTTATGTATAATTTGTCTAGGCCTTGAAATAATACAAACATTTTAAAGGATAGAATACATAGTATACAGTAGCCTAACTTATGACCTGTTCTGTTTAAGAGGCCAGATTGAGCCATGTTTGTTAAGCAAGGCAGCTATACAAACATGTTTTTATTTATCAGCTTTGTCTTCCTCAATGAATGTTTTATTTTTGTAAAGAATACAGACTATGAAGATGACAAGGCATTGAAGAATCCAAAATACAAAGATAGAGCTGGAAAGCGTAGGGAGCAGATTGGAAGTGAAGGAACTTTCCAGAGAGATGATGCTCCAGCATCTGTTCACTCGTAAGTATTGAATCTTAGTGCTTGTGACTTTCTTTGAACTATATCATAATTTGTAGCATAGCCTGACTTCGAGGGATTTTTACTTTGAATAGATAGTCTTTAAAAGTGTAGCTTATACAAGAAACACTATTCTTCCTTTAATGTTAGAATGCATTATTTCTTAGGAAATGCCTGAATGAATATGTAAGTACCTTTAGCTGCACACACATGTGTAACCAGCATTCCAGCCACTCACTTGTGTGAACATATTTTCTTAGATATCTAGATGCCTAGGCTAGTAAAATATTGATATGGACTTATATATTTAATTACTCAACTATTTTTGTTCTCATTGACTTTTTATAAAATATATTCTTTTGATTTGGCTGTAGAAAAAAGACATTTCCTTACCCCAAGGTTTGAATCTTTAATATGAAACTGGTAAATAATTATTAAGACTTGATTAAATGTTATTTTATTTGATTCTTAGAGGTTTTTTTTTTTTGTTTTTGTTTTGTTTTGTTTTGGGTTTATTTTTTTGCTTTTTGGGGCACACCCAGCAATGCCCAGGGGTTACTCCTGCGGTGCTCAGGGGACCATATAGGAAACTGGGAATTGAACTCAGATTGTCTGCATGCAAGGCAAACGTCTTACCTGCTGTGCTAGTTGTGTGATAGTTGTTGCAATATATAATAATATACCAACACACTAAAATATACATAATGGTATATAAATTATATCTCAATTAAAAAATTTTTGTAGCGCTGAAAAGACCATGTGGTGTAGAACATTAAAATAACCCTTATATTAGCAGAAAGTTCTGTCTCATTTTATTTTAACATTTTAAAAGTGATATATAGGAAAGGACACAGTAGAGAAAGGAACACAAATACTGTGTCAGTATCAGTGATCTATCACAAATTCCATGTATTTCTTAGCCAAGAAATAATGGATGTAACCCCAAAGGCTACAGCCTCCTAGTGCCTCCTCAGAAGCACTGCTCCTATTCCTCACTCCTCCCCAAGGGTCACTGCCCTGACTTCCCACTTATTTTTTAATTTTTAAATAAAGGGAACAATTTAGTGTTTTGGTGTCCCTTTTCCCAAACATTTTGTTAGCTGTATTTTATTTTCATTGCTATTCGATATTCTTTCATATGACCATGCCACAGTTAAACTATTTTAACTTTGACAGACATTTGGGTTGCTTCCAATGTTTGTATTGCTTGATTTGCTGCAAATGCTTTTTTTTTTCTTTTGGGGTCACACCCAGCGATGCACAGGGATTACTCCTGGATCATGCATTCAGAAATCACTCCTGGCGGTGCTTGGGGGACCATAATGGGATGCTGGGAATCGAACCTGGTTCGGCCGCATGCAAGGCAAATGCCCTACCCACTGTGCTATCGCTCCAACCCTGCAAATGCTTTTTTTTTTTTTTTCAGTATCAGGGATTATTAAGCTCAGGCCCTCATGTATGTAACCCATATGCTTTACCCTTAAGCCACATCCCTGGCCCTGCAAAAACATGTCTCTCTGATGTACTATGTTTGTGCTTTTCTATTAGTGTATGTGGGTATAGATAACAGTATTTGTATCTTCGTTTAGGGTAGATAATGACAGTTGTACTTTTACCAATTACTAATATCTCATTATTGTATAATAAAAGTGACCCTCACATTCTTTTCAAAATAGACCATCATCTTAATTTCTTTTTTAGTGAAATTACTGATAGCAACAAAGGTCGGAAGATGTTGGAGAAGATGGGATGGAAAAAAGGAGAGGGCCTGGGGAAGGATGGAGGAGGAATGAAAACTCCGGTAGGACTTTTGCCTTCTTGTATTCTTTATTTTTGCAGTAGTTGTTTGTTTTCTGTGTTTTTAGGAAGACGAGTTTTTTCACTTCGTCAGGGTAGAATAGTGACATTTCTTGACCCAAAGCTTTTTCTGCAGCTTTTATTTGCTTTTAGTGACTTCCTTACTGCTACTAAATGTTGTGGGAACACTGTGTCACTTTATAAACTTTATTCTCTAGAGAGTCTGTTTTAGGTTCAAGAAAAGGAACAGAGAGAGTAATGCCAAAAAACAATACTGTGGTTTTCCTGCAGTCCCTTGGTTCATTGACGGTTCAGATTATTTTCCACAAAAACTTGACAAAGTAAAGTACTGACTAAAGAACTTTTCTTTTTTTTTCTTCCTTTTCTTGGGTGGGGGGGGAGATCTTCCAAGTGGTGCTCAGGAGGCCAGTGACCCCTCCTCACGATTCCCTGCCAGTGAGTCAGAGCTGGGGACTCTCTGGGCCACCATGGTGATGCTTGCAGGCCTCAAAGGCTCTACCCAGCAATGCTCGTGTGGTTCTGGGGGACCAAACCAGAGCCAGCTGCCGGCAAGGCATGTGCCTTAGCCCTGTACTATCTTTCCAGACCCCAAGAACTTTCTTGGTATTTTGGCATCTAAAGAAATAAAAGGTGGGGGTGTGGGTGGCCTGGTTCAATCCCCAGTACCACACATATATGGTCCCCTGAGCCTTGCCAGGAGTGATCCCTGAGCACATCATATGAACTATTTTTCATGGATATCATGAAGATAAAGCCTTTAGTGTGAGATCTGACAGATATTAGGTATTCAGTAATTGGTAGTTCTGATTGGTTCTTTTTGTTTGTTTTTGTTTTTGGACCACACTTATATTTGCTCAGGGCTTACTCCTTTCTCTGTGCTCAGGGATCAATCACTCCTGGCAAGGCTCGGGACCGTATGTGTGTGGTACTGGGGATTGAACCGGGCCAGGCTTTGCCTGCTCTACTATCTCTCTGGCTGCTCTAACTGGTTCTTAAAATAATGAGGAGTCCTGAACTTCTACTGAGAAAACAAAAGGTATTATCTATGATTCAGTGTTTCACTTATGTGAGGGTAGGCTGGTAAGTTTCAATAAATCAGCTGTTTTCCTTCTGCTTAGAGTAGAAAGACAGAATATCACATGTTCTTACTGTCGGTCAAGGGACTGCAGAAAAATCTGTTGTTGTTTCATTTGTAATGGCTGTATTTATTTCTGTATATTTTTAAATGCATGTCTAGACTTTTTATTTGCATCAATCTTCCTTTTCTTTCTTTTTTCTTTTTGATTTTTGGGCCACACCCGGCAGTGCTCAGGGAGTTTATTCCTGGCTCTGTACTCAGGAATCACTCCTGGAAGGGCTCAGGGGACCACCTGGGATGCCAGGGATCAAACCTGGGTCAGCTTCCTGTAAGGCAAACTCTATTCACTGTGCTATTGTTTCAGCTCCAGCTCTGCAAAGAATTGTTTAGCAAACTTAATACATCAGATTTCAGTGTGTTTAGATTCTGCAGTAAGTTTTGCGCTTAACTTTTGGTTTACAGATTCAACTTCAGCTTCGACGAACACATGCAGGCTTGGGGACTGGAAACCCGTCCTCAATTGAAGATGTTCACCTTTTCCAGAACAAGAGCAAAAAGAACTGGGAAAAGGCACGGGAGCGTTTTGCTGAAAACTTCCCAGAAACAAAACCTCAAAAAGATGCACCGGGGACCTTGCCTTGGGTAAAGGGGACTGTAGAGTGAAAGTCAATCATTGAACAAAGTCATGCTTTTTTTTAAAAAAGGAGCTTGGAAACTCTTATTTTATGCAGAAGTTTTCTCTCCAGAAGAGTGGCACGAGGGAACCGTGTCACAGCTCATGCCTTTTGATTCAAAAATGTGTAAGAAAGTAAGGTTTGCAGCTTTTAAAACCATTTTTTAAAGTTGATGAATAGTGACTGCAAATCAGGTGAAGTTGAGGGTGGTCAGAAGTTCACAGGGCACAGATGAACTCAGACCTTATTATCTTGTCATTTATAATATCCGTATATGCAACTATCCATATAAGCAAAATTCATGTAACTACTAATGACTTAAATGTACATTTGTCCTTGTCTTCATGTATTCATTATTATTATATGTGCGCACACACAAAGTTTATAAAAACAATTTAACTATAAGCATCTTTGTTTATGCCCTTTAGAACCTAGATTTTTAAAAAGTTGAGAAAACCTGGGTAGTGGTCCATAAATTTTTTGATCCTTGGAACAACCCTAAGTAATATTATTAAAGAACTAATGAGCAGGTGACATGTTGTAGAAAATTAGTCTTTCATTGTTTTCTTCTGTGAAGAATCTTGTTGGTTTGTACTGTATATTAAGCATTTACATTTGGTTTATTTCATAGCTGAAATATTTAGGTATGAACAGTTGAGCACAGCATTAAACTAGTCAATGTGCTGTGCAGTTTGTAGTTTTGATAAATCCCATTGCTGGCAATGGAGTTGTGCCAGAGAAATCTGATTTCTAGTGCAAAAGAATTACCTGGCCAAGACCTCAAATTAAAAATATTTATTGAAAGTGTTCTCAAATGCAATAAAAGTATTGTAGCATCAAAAAGTGTGATTCATTGAGCCAGTGATTCAAATGTAATGGTCTGCCTTGAACTCTACAATCGGAATTTTCCTCTTGACATTTGGGCAGAGCAGTCACGGAAACTGGCCTCAGAGTGCTGGAGACTGCAGTGCAGTTTCCTGAGGACAGGTGTCACTGCTTGGCTAATATCAGTATTCTTTTTCGTTCAACTTTTCTCTCAGACTTTTTACTGGGAAATTAATGCTGAAATGATCCTTTTCTTCCATTAACTATAAGTTGTCACTTCCCCATCTCTATAAAGAAATGTCTTCAAGATTTAGAAAGGAAAGGAAAATTTTTTTAAATTTATAAAGTAGGGAAGATAATTAAGAAAGGTTACATTGGAACTTCTGGTTTAAAGAGAATACTTAGAAAAGTGGGTGGGAGAAGAAAAATTAATTTATTACTGAAAAGACATCTGGGAAAGAGGACGCTCAATGGACTGTGCTCATGCATTGCATGCAGGAGACTGGGGTTTGATCCCCAGCACTCTGTGGTCTGAGCGCAGAGCTAGGAGTATCCCTGACTGCTGCTGGGTGTGACCCTAGAAGTCCCCAAAATTAAAATGACATTTTTTACCTAACAGGCTGTCAAGTTTCTGTAGCTCTAATCTAGGATAATTAAAGGCCCTGTAGCTCCAAATCTCAACAATTTTCTCGACAATGGGGTTTCCCTCTCTGTCCACCCTGCCACCTGCAAATTTGACTTGGAGGAAATCTGAGTGTCCTGTCATTTTCTATAAAATAGAAGAACAGAATTATTCTTATAAATGCAGTTCTAATATCGGTGCCCGTTGCATGCAGCAATTATTTGACCCCAAATCAGACTGCTTCTGGCAGATCTCACTCATTGGATTAGTATGCAGCTGTCTCTATATAATATTTCCTGTTTTTATTACTAGTTTGAGAAGAACTTTTTTCATTGTTTTGTTAAGAAAATGGAAACTTGAAAATGGTGATAAAAATAGAAATATATGTGATACTTTGCATTATGAAAAAATTTTCAGATCTAAAGTCTCAGGGCTACACTTTGTAGTGGTTATGGCACTGAATAATTTCTGGGTCTATTTCCATCTGTGAAATAAGTATCTCACATGTCTGTCAAATAAATAATGATAAAATGTATATAAAAGCACTTTGTAAGCTGTACAAGTAGAACAGATGTAAGCTTCTATTTGTTTAGAAGTGTAGATGTGAATTATGTACAATTTGGATAATACATAAAATTGTTTTGTGTCTAATATTTTAATTTGTAGTTCATTCACATTCTATAAATTGACAGTAACTTTATATGTATATTTTGACTGGATCTATAAGTTGCTCAGTATTGAGAAAAGTACTTTGTAGAACATTAGAAACTGGAAAAACTGAAAAGAAAACACCAATATTAAGAAGATCAGGTTTTCTATAGTGAGCATAAAATTGTTTTGATAAAAGAGAGGACTATTTTTTCTGTTCCTGACTAGCTTTTAGTTTTGATATTTCATTTTTATTCTAGTTGTGAACTTATTTAGCTTACCCAAATCAAACACTTGCCAACTTTCCTGTAACAGATAATTTCATTATTTACTAACATGGCACGTTTTCAAGGAGCAGACAAAAGATTAAATCTGAGGTAAGGGGAAGCAAGAAGTATCTGAGATTGTGTTCAAAGGTGGTCTATCAAATTAGAGAACAGAGAGATGTACTTGTCCTACCCAGAAGTATTTCTAGACCAAACACCTGAAGGTGTTGCCAGGAACAAGAGTATGTTCCCCCATCATCTTGTTTCAAGTGCACTTATTTTTCTAGGGTAGCACGTACATCTCTACTCTGCATCTTTGATCCGAAACATTTCATTTTATTTTTCCAGACTTTAAAGTTGAAATATGTGGAGGCCAAAGAGAAAGTACAGGGGTTAAGGCACCTGTCTTGCTTGTAGCGGACCCCAGTTTAACACCCAGCAACACATGGTATGCTGAGCACCACCAGAAATGTGAACCCTGAGCACTGCCAGGTATGGCCAATAAATAAATAAATAAAAACATTTTAAGTTGAAATATATTTAGATTTTTTAAGTGATGCAATATCTATGTGTATTGCCTGTGTGTCAAATCTAGACTTTCTGTTTCATTCTATTGTTGATGGTGCTGGGGATCAAAGCCAGGATCTCATACAACCAGGGCATGCCCTGAACCACCAAGCTATATCCCAACTCCTGTGAGTGTTAGATTAGACCTGGTAGTTACAAAATGACTTTTGGTGGGGCCAGAGCAATAGCACAGCGGGGAGGGCGTTTGCCTTGTACACAGCCAACCTCGGTTCAGTTTCTGGCATCCCATATGATCCCCCATGCACCACCAGGAGTGATTCCTGAGCAGAGAGCCAGGAGTGACCCCTGAGCATTGCTGGGTGTGCCCCCCCCCCCCCCCCCCCCCCCGCCAAAGAAAATGGCTTTTGGAAGATGAGCTATAGTCATGTCCACTCTTTTGGGAGGGAGGGGGAATTTGGGCACCACCCGACAGTACTCTGTGCTGGGCATCTCTTCTGGCAGTGCTCAGGGGACTATGTGGTGCCAGTGATTGAGCCTGGGCTGTTCGCTTGCAAGGCAGGTACCTTAGCTCTGTACTCACTGTACAGCCCCAGTGTTCTCTTATCAGGAAAACGAAGCTTGCCCAGATGCTCTCACAGTAGACACAAGACCATTCTTTGGAACCTGATTGCACGAGTGCCCAAAATTGCAAGAGAAGTTGAAAAGGTGGGTGATAGAATAGTCTCAGTTGCTAAACCAACCATGAACCACTCATCGGGGACCTAATGCTCAAACAAAATGTAAGTTCACTGAGCAGGGCTTTTAGAAGGTGGACAGTGGAGACTGAATGGGAAATAACTGCCAACTAGATAGCAGCTACCCATCGGGGGGCCTGGGAAGCTGGTTCATTTGTGATGCAGTTCTACAGTGTAGTGTTTTGTGGTTATTCAGATGAATGACAACATCTATGCCCTGGTGATAATCTTGACTACATTGTTGATCTTACATAGAAGCCTGTATATGTATAAATCCATTCATAAAAAATGTTGAGTGCATTTAGGAGCTCTTAAGTTTGATTCCTGGAACTGTATGGTTCCCTGAGAACTATCAGGAGCGATCCCCAAACATAAGCATAGATCAGGGTGTGGCCCTTGAGCACTCCCCCAAACAAAGCTCTGCCACTGCCCTGTAGCACTGCCCTCCCATTGCTCATCGATTTGCTTGAGCGGGCCCAGTAACGTCTCCATCGTGAGACTTGCTGTTACTGTTTTTGGCATACTGAATACGTTACGGGTAGCTTGCCAGGCTTTGCCATGCGGGCGTGATACTCTCGGTAGCTTGCCAGGCTCTCCTAGAGGGGCAGAGGAATTGAACCCGGGTTGGCCGGGCCGGCCGCGTGCAAGGCAAATGCCCTACCCACTGTGCTATCGCTCCAGCTCCCCCAACTCCAGACTCCAGACTCAAGTTCCACAAAACAAAATACTTTTCAGGTACATATGGAGTTATTAATTATCAGGGAGTAAGCAAATTTACACTTTTTGTTATTTGCATATTTGAACTTTAAGACAAGTACAATCGTGTTGTTTGCAGTAGACACTTTATGAATAGGAATTCACACACATTTATGAATACACCCCCAGAAAGTGAAGAGGCCTCTGGGGCCCACCCTAGGTCCACAGCGTGTGCATGTGTGAGTGACCAGTAGTCTTCTCCAAACCAGGTCTCTAGTTTGCTCTGTTAGGTGGCTGCACCAGTCTGACCATGATGGAAACCAGAAACCTAGGAGGCGACCTCCATTTTTCCTCCATCACCTTCTCTCCCTGTGCCCATAACTCTGTTGTGTTAGTCCTCATCACTCATCTGGACTCCCAGGAGGTTAGCTGGTGTCTCCAGACTCCATGCTGCAGGCACTGTCTTCAGAACTTCTTTTCTTCATTTATGTAAATCCTCTGAGCACACAAAACAAAACCCTGACTGGAGAGATAGTACAGGGGTGAAGGCACTTGCCTGGTGTGTGGCTGGTCCCAATTTCATCCCTGACACCACATAAGGTCCATTTGAGCACTGCCAGGAATGATCCTTGAGCATAAGGCCAGGAAAAAGTAAGCCTTAACCACAGCTCGGTGGGATCCACCCCACCCCCAAATAAAAAAAAGCTGAAAGGAAAACAGAACTGAAAACAAAATACTAGTATATAAGCAGCCCCCTACTGACCTAGTCACTGCCAGCTTTTCTGTTTTGTGTCACTCATGCTTGCTTGCTCTCTGGGCTCCAGCATGCTCGCCTATTTCTGGTTCCTCAGGCTGCCAAGGCCTGTCTCATCTCAGAATACTTAGATGCCATTATGCATGGAATACTCTTTCTCTGTCCTTAGCCTTACCCTAGATCTCTGCTAATTCTTTAAGAATGCCTTCCTTGTCTCCCTAGACTAATTGCTTTGATAACTTTCCTTGACGATCCTTATTTCTTTCATTTAGACTACTTATTTTGTTACAGTGTGATTGTTCTCTCTGGATTCTGAGTGGCATGTGGCCTGGACCTTGGTTTTTCTCATGAGTACCTTCCTATTGCCATGCACTATACCTGAAACTTAGAGGCACGAAGAGAAGAGCAAGGTGGGCTTGGGGAACTACAAATAGCTTGATCTAGATGAAGTTTGCCATGACTGAGGAGATACGGGAAGAACTGAGCATGACTGAGGATCTTTAGCAATGACTTTCAAATCATAATCCAAGATAAGAAACACAGTTTGTAACACAGTTCCATGCTTGTCTGTGTTTGCATACCTAGCAGATTTTATATACCAGTTCTTAGTCATTAGTTCATGTAATGAACTTTCATTTTTGTTTTCCAAATGAATGGTTCCAACCACTAAAGTGATTTAGTGATCCACTCATGAGTTATGTCTTCCAGTTAGAAAAACACTAATTTCAAGTTTGGTTTTCTGAGTTTTGACAGGAGTAGTGGCATTGACTTCAGTGCAGCCGTGTGTGGTGTGGGTGTGGGGTTGTGGCATCAGTGTCTCACTGTGGCAATGTTAAGAGGTTCTCATATACAATCCACTTTGAGGAGAGAGTGATCTGGGCTATGCCCGGTGGTACTCAGGGATTGCTCCCAGCTCTGTGCTCAGGGATCAGCCTGAGCTGATCAGCTCAGGGACCATATGCTTTGTTGGGGGTAGAACCAGGGTCAGCTTGACTACATGTCAGGCAAGTGTCTTAACCCCTGTTTTCTCTCTTCAGCCCCTCGTGTTACCTGTTTACCCTGTCTGATTTACAATTCAAGTTATGAAATAGATTTCACAGGAAGAAAGGGTTTCACTGCTAAGAGAATGTGGGAGGAGGTTAGGGAGAGAAGCTGAGTCACATACACCCATTTTCACACTGTTCAATTTGGTTTTACCTCTTTGGCAATGAGGAATCCCTTGAAGGGTTTCAAACAGGGAAACGCCTTCATGAGATGTAGCAGATGTACTAACTGAAGAGAGGCAGAGAGGAGGCGGCAAAACTGGGGGACTGATGCACCCGTGAACAGTTTATTGAGCACCCTCAGTTACTGTGCAGATCTCAAAGACAGGGACTTTCTCATATTCACTGCTGTGTCTTCAGTCCCTGTCACAGGATTGCTTGGTATAGAAGGGACTGTGTTGGGAGGGGAGGTTAAACACATATTTGCAGCATGTCAGGCATTGAAACATGCATTTGCTTATACTGTCTTACTTATTCCTGCTGGCATTTTATGATTTACAAAACTGAAGCTTAAAAGAGGTGCTCAGCTCCCATTTGACCCAGCGATACCACTCCTGGGAATATATCCCAGAGAGGCAAAAATGTGTAGCCGAAGTGACATCTGCACTTGTTTGTTCATTGCAGCACTCTTTACAGTAGCCAGAAACTGGAAGAGACCTGAGTGCCCAAGAACAGATGACTGGTTAAAGAAACTTTGGTACATCTACACAATGGAGTACTATGTAGCTGTTAGAAAAGATGAAGTCGTGAACTTTACATACAAGTGGTACAATATGGAAAGTATCATGCTAAGCGAAATGAGTCAGAAAGAGAGGGATAGAAAGATTGCATTCATCTGGAGGATATAAAATAACAAAATATGAGATTAATACCCAAGAATAGCTGAGATCAACACCAGGAGAATTACTCCATAGCTTAGAGGCCAGCCGGGTATTCTAGGGGAAAGGACAATTCAGATAGAAAAGGGAACACCAAATGGAGGGT